CCCCAAAACCCCAAAACCCCAAAACCCCTGTTCTGAAACAAATTATTGAAACTATTTTGGGACTTTAGACATTTCATAGGCATATCTTTTTGTGAAAGCCTCATATTTTCCAGGATTTCTTTCTTTGAATTGAGCAGCAATCTTTTTAATAACAGCAGGATTTGGCTTTCTGCAGAGATGCATTAGGTATAAAATAGTTGCAAAAATTAAATACCCATTTCCAGCATGAGTCATGGTGTTTTCTGGTTGCATTCCATGAGTTACCATGTAGCTTCCGATATGTAGTTGACCAAGAAGTAGAGCAAAAAGTGTAGTTAACCCAAGTTTGCCCATAAATCCTAGTTTGGTCCTCATCAAGAGAACCCATTGAATACCAACAACTCCAGTCATGATCAATCCTAATGTTCTGTGATTGAATTGGATTAGTTTGTTGTTGTTTAAGATATTCTCCAAGAACGAAGAGTCTTGATCAAGATCTGACATCGCAGGAGCCCACTTATCTCCAACTTTTGGATACGTTGTGATACTTCTTCCACTTCCGGTTCCTGCAGTCAAAAATCCAGACAAGAGCACCAAGGTAAAGAAGAAATGAGTTGAAAAAGTCATGTGCTTCCTTAAGGAATTATAAGCAAAGAATCTATCAAGTCTTTTAATATGATCGGGTGAGCCCCTTAACATATTTAGTGCCATCCAGAACCCGTATCCAAAATAAGCTCCTATAAGAGTGTAGTGAATCGCTTTTTGATGCTTATCTTTAGCTGGAGTTGGTGCACCTTCTACTGCACCTGGCCTTTTCTTATCCATGTACATTCCTTGGAATCCAATAGATGCAACAAGACCAGTGTAGATCGCACAGAACTTTTTCATTGGTCCTTTGAAATATCCTCTGGCCAAAAAGTAAGCCATTGGTAATGCATGGCCGAGAAAAGCTCCTGGACCAAAGATCATGCCAGCTTTATTCAATATCCAAGCTTGTTTAAATTGCTCAAGAGTGGTAGGTTTGCCTCTAGCGGTATACTCTGGATATTTCTTAAACTCTTCATACTTCTCTTCCCATTGTTCATCAGTTTTCGGGGTGTTTCCGCTACCTTTCCACTGAATCGTAGGAATCCCGAACCTCATATTCCGAGTATATCCTCCTCTCGTAGTCAATGCAAACACACAGAAGCTTGTTCCTAACAGCCAGATACCAACTTGGATCCTCTTGCCATCCTTCACGAACCTAGTTGCATCCTTAGTGACATAGTTCTTCGTTGAAAAGTGTCTTTTCACCAGATTTCCTCCTATTCCATTTCTTAAAATTCCTCTCCTGAGTAGCATTTTTAAAATATTACAATCTTGTTCACTAGGCTTGGGGTTTTGGGGTTTTGGGGTTTTGGGGTTTTGGGG